TTCATCCATCCATTCATCCTTCTTCCTTATCCATCTATCCATCCATCACTCTTATCCATCCATCACTGTCATCCATCCTTCCTTACCCATCTGATCTCTCCATCCCTCCTTCTTCCTTGTCCATCTCTTAATCCATTCATCTCCCTATCCATCCATCCATCCATCCATCCATCCATCCATCCAAGGCTTGGTTATACATTTTCATAAGCCCCAAATAGTGTTCACCGAGAGTTTAGATTAAATGTGAAATCTAAGCTTGAATTTTAAACAATGATCAGGACGGGAGGCCCTTCCTATTTGTTTGTTTACCTGTATCCTTTTATTTTATAAATAACTCGGTTATTTACAGAGTTACCCTGTGGTAAGATGGGTGGCCGATAAATTTGATAAAACAAACTCAGGGCAGCAATCCTACCCCATCCTCCTCCCTCTATTTTTTCACCCACCACCATCCTGCAAGGCAGGTCAAGCTGAGATTAACTATTCACTGTATATACATTTATAAATTTGCAGTTGAAAAATTGCACACCTACTTGTGGGGTTGTTAATCGTTGTGCAAAAAGCAGCACCACCAAAGGAATGGTATTGCTAGAACTCTGAAATGAGCCAGTTGACACTGATGATCTCCAATAACTGTAAAATCAGAATCGAATTGTGATTATTTTTATACTGCAGGTGCCTCGAAGGCCAGGTAAATAGAATTTACTCTCGTCCCTGCAACGCTCAAAACAAGGAGGTGCCAACATGGGGGCGGGGGAAGGAAGGGGGAATGACGTCACTGCCTATGACGTCACCGGGGCTGATACTGTAGTAGGCTGTTGGGGAGTCACGAGGTCAGCCTCGATTTCCCATCTGTAAAATTGCTTTTCGGGAGGGGGAGGGGGAGCTCGCCGACACGGTCGAGCTTGGGGGGGGGGGGGACAAAAGAAAAGACTGAATCCCACCCACTCAGGCTTGTTGGAAACCGCCTTAGTTAAACTAGGATTCAGGGGTCCCTTCGGGGGCTTCGCAGGAGCCCCCACGCCGCGGCGCAGCCAAGGAGGCTCCCAAGTAGGGCAGAGACTGTTGTCTCCCATAGGGTATAGCGGCTGCAAGCCCCGCGGCTGCAAGAGCCCCCATAGCACGGTGCAATCTACCCTCGCGCGTCGGGCGGGAAGAAACTCTCAGCAGGGGACTCCCAATTCCCAGTGAGCGCGTGAGCTAGGGAGCACGTGGTGGGGAGCATGGGCTGAGCAGTCCAACCCCCGCGGCCCCCTGGGCACGCTGCAATCTATGACCCCCGTCGGACTGGGAGAAACCCTCAGCAGGGGACTCTTCCATGGGGCGCGCCGGCTGGGGAAGATGGGGTGCAAGCGAGGAGAATATCTTGATCTGGGACTCCCAACACTCATGGGGGCCCGGGGACGATGAGCTTAGCGATGCAGGGACCCCCCCACGGCGCGCTGCAATCCGCCATCCCCGGTCCGGCAGGGAGAAACTCTTTAAGTCGGGGACCCTGGGCTATAAGCGCGGCCAGCCGAGCCCTCCACGGGGCACGTTTTACAAAACCACCCTCCAGGATCAGACAGGGAGTAACTACATAGTCGGACACTCCAAGTCCCATGGGGCACGCCCACTGGGGAGCCATGGGCTAAGCCCTAGAGCCAGACCCCTCCCCCTCATCCCCCATGGCACGAGGCAATCCACGACCCTCAGGTCGGGCAGGGAAGAAATTCTCTTGCTCGGGCACTCCAACTCCTATGAGGCGCGCCGGCTGGGGACGATGGGAGGAGGAACGCTTCCCGACGAGGTGCTTATACACGTGCGGTCGGGAAAAGCCGCGGCCGGCTGGACTCGTAGGGATGCCCAACCGTGGCCACTTTAAGGCTTGTGGACGCCAAGAATTCTGGGAGTTGAAGTCCAGAAGTGGCCACGGTTGGAGACCTCTGGGCTGGACCTATCGCGGGGAAGGAAGGGGGCGTGGCCAGGAAAGGTGGGGAGGCGTGGCCGGGAAGATTGGGGTAAGAAAACCGCTCGAGCTCGGCTCAATGCGACTCGGCTGGGCGAGCTCGACGGCGGTTCAGAGCTCGGCTAGAGTCGACCGGCACTCGGGCGCGTTCGGCGTGTCCTCGCGCGGCGCTCGGCTGTCCTCGGGCCTTCGGCGGAGTTGGAAAAGGATGTGAGCGGGAGGCGGCGGCGCAGAGGGCGCGGAGCATCCCGTCCGTTCGCCCGGCGGCGGGCGGATCGGGGCTTCGTGCGGTGAAGGAGACGCTACCGCCCGCCGCGATGGGGGACTTCTACGATCCGGAGCACCCGACCCCTGAGTAAGTGGGGCTGTGGGGGGGGGGGGGGGGGGCAATGGGGGGGGGGGAGGGGAGAGGGAAGGAAAGTCTCCTCGGGCCTCGCGACCCCCCCGCCCCCCGCCCCATCGGACAGGAGCAACGGTCGCCCCCGATCCTCAGAGGCCCCCCCCCTCTCGAGGCGCCCCCCCCCCCCCCCCGGGCCTTTCTGAGGCGGCGGAGGGAGAAGAGGCAGAAGCCGGGCCTGGCTAGGCCGCGCATCCCCGGCCTCGCGTGAGAGCGGCGGCCGACCCCGGCCACCCTAAGCCCGGGGGAGAAACAAAGCCGGGCGGGATTTCGATTTTTCTGTGTGGGGGAGGGAGCTCGTCTAAGAAACCGAGGGGTTTTTTTTTCCCATTGGGGAGGACCCCCCCCACCTCAGTTCCCCTTCCTCCTCTTCCTCACACCCTGGAAACCATTGGCGGGGGGGAAAGAGGGGAGCAGTTTCCTCATGGAGGGGCCTTTGGGGGGGGGGAGGTCCTCGAGGGCGGGGGGACTTTTGACATACACGCCCCCCCCC